ATTTGGTCCAACCCTCAATGTTCTATCGTGTAATTCTGCTTTCTTTACTTAGTTTAGGTTGTAATCATGCTTTTCATTAATAGTACTCTTTGTAAAAAAAAAAAAAAAAAAAAACATGAAAATTGAGTTTTAACTGGAACTAAGGTTTTACATTAAAAGTAGAATTTGCAGGAGCAACGAATATGCAGATTTCATACTATTATGTTGCTTTTATGAACCTATTTTCACACCATCCTCTAAGAACACTTTTTCAATACCCACTTTAATTATAGGTTTCATCCATTAAAATAATTAAATAAGGGATAATATTGGATACATTTAAAAAGTCCTAAATCGAGATGGAGCTAGCTTAGCCCTGGTTAATCATCGAAAATAAATCAATAAAATATTTCAATCAACATGATATTTTCGAAAATAAATCAATGTTTGTGGAATTCGTATTTATAAAAAGTTGTTGACTTATTTATAGAAATGTCACTAGATATTTATCATGAAAATCAACTTGTATTTTCTCCTAATTAGACCCTACCTAGCCAAGATTAATGTCATAACATAAAACGGACTTAGGGCCTGTTCTCATACGTTTATTTTTAGTTCAGTTCAGCTCCTAATTTCCTTCTCTTATAAAATATTCAGTTCAGTTCAGTTCAGTTCATCTGTATTCAGTCAATGAGAACAAACCCTTATTGTATAATCTAGCTCATTTCAAATGCGCACATCGAGACAAATCTAAAACGTACACAAGCAAAAACTCAAGAACTGTTTTATAGCCATGCCAAGTTCCCCACATGAAATTGTAAAAGTTGATCTAATAAAAGAGTGTAAAATTATTGAGAAATAGTCGTGTCAAATTAACATATGCAGCCAACATAACATTTGATGTCCAAATCCACGAGTTGTTTTTCTTTAACAATCCACGATAATCATTGAGCTTCATCAACACTTTTTAGATTCTCTCTTGTCCTTAATCTATTTTTTGAAAATATCCAACCCTTTTTAATATGTATATGCTCCAATTGTTACTAGTGATGTTTGATGTTGAACTAAAGTTTTTACCAAAATTTATTAAAAAATTTTTTTTTGAATAAAAAATAATAAAATCAATATAATAATAATAAAAGAGTTGGATTTTGTACTTTTCACCACAAACGTTTAAATTACTAATTCACAAATTTAATTTTTAAATAAAATCAAAAGGCCAGGTAATGATAAATTCTCATAATAACTTCCAATAACATTTGTCATTATTTTGTTGTGCAAGTATTAAGAGTATTTTAGTTCTTTCAAATTTTAAGCTATGATAAGTGAACTTATTTTTACTTATTAAATCAGAAAAAATATGTAATAAAATCCAATTCTAGTCCATAATCCATATCAATGATATCATACTTTTTTTTTTCTTTATGTGCAGTTTATTATTGCTAAATATTTTTAATTTAGTAAAAAAAATGAAATTATATATTAATAATATATACATTACTACGAGTCTAACAAGACTCTACTTGATCTTGTTTTTTTTTTTTTTTTGTGATCATATATTTTTTCTTGTAATATAGCATATTTTTGAGGTCAAAGTTTAGTCAAATCAAATCATTGAAACAGATCATATACAATAAGTCAAATTCAAATCAAATAAGCAAAAATAAAATCAACTAAACATATTTTAGAGTCAATTGCATGGGGATGGTGTACATTAGGCATGGAAGATGGGGAAGCTGGAGGGTCCCACATCAAATGGTGGTCATATGTTGTGATGATGGAGATTGGAGATAGTGGCGCGCAAGCACTCCAGTGCTTTAGCCAGCTTTTACCCTACTATTTTCCCTTTTCTCACAATTTTTTCAAAGAATATTACAATGGAGAAAATTTTCAAAGCAATTGAAGACAAATCAAAGAATCTATTTGGAATCATGAAATGATAAGTATATACTCCTTTAGAGTATTTGAGAGTGAAATAAAACAAGCTAGAAGAAAAGCTTTATAAGACTATTTTTGTAGAAAAGTATATAAGAACATTTTCAATTATCTTTCTACAAAGCATATTTTACTTAGAAAAAAAGGTATGAAATCGAGGGTAGCTAATCTTAAGTCCTAACCTTTCATACCTATATCTAAATACGTTAAAATTAACAGATTTATGATAGACTAAGGGCCTGTTCTCGTTGAACTAAACTGAACTGAACTGAACTTATTAGACTTGAACTGAACTTAACTGAGCTGAAATGAATATTTTATGAGAGAAGGAAATTAGGAGCTGAATGAACTGAACTGAACTTATTAGAGCTGAACTGAACTGAAAATAATCTGATGAGAACAGGGCCTAAGGCTCTATTCTTTTGAACTTTTGGGCAACTAGAGCAGAGCAAGTGTCAGCATAGCAGATTGAATCAGCAGAGCAAAGCTATAAAGTAGAGCAAGAGTCAGTAGATCAGCTCAAAAGAACTGGGCATAAACACAATTAAAAATGTGGTTGATTGTAATATTATTCTATGTTTATCTTTAACTTAGTGTTTAGGTTGTATTGTCATGTGCCTCAAATCCTCATTAAAGGATGTTCGTGTAAACGTGTAATATATGGGTAGGGTATAGTTGGAACTCGATCACTTGGTGGTACAGTCTGAGCGAGATTTTATGCTTGCCTAAGCAATTCGAATAAAAAGTGTTAGTGCCACGCAATGCTCGATCACCCAAACATCAACTTGGTCGCTTGAGCACTTTAGTGCCCAAAATTTTATGCTTTTATGATGGGTTTCATCTTAACCCTTGAATTTAGCTTGTAAGAGCATCTCCAATGGCAGGTTACAATGGTTTGTAGCTTGCTTTTCCACATCAATTTCTAAGCTACAACACTTTTTAAGCAACAAATTGTTCCAATGGTAAGTCACAACATATTGTAGTTTGCAAAAAATAAAATTTTAAAAAATAATAGATAATTATACACATGTTACAATATGAGTGGAGATTATTTGTCTCTTTTTCAATCAAGCATGTAGTTTGGTTGGGCTACATTTGCTTGTATGTTGCTCAATTTTTTGTTTTCCAATGGTAAGTATATAGCTAGGAACTTTATATAAATTGCAAGCAAGTCCTTATAATTGAACCATTGGAGATGCTCTAACATACGAAGTATATTATATTTGTTTATGACGGCTAATAACATATTGCTTGAGGAATATTGAAAGGTTATGAGGATTTCTTAATATTGTAAAAAGAATCATTGAGTGAATAGGTCAAGTAAGCCATTTAAAAGACTCTTTATATATTCCTTTTGTTTTCTCTATTAAAGTGAAAAAAGAAGAAGACAAAAACCAATGAAAAAGCCAAGAAATATCATGTACTCCGTATCTAACATGGCAATCGATCAACACATACTAGTCCTTACTCGATGAGGTGACAATTACCAACAATTGAATCCTGTAAATATGTGTGTATAATAAGCAAGGAGCAAGCTTCAAACAAGTTTGTAAACATCCATCTCATGGATTCATGCCTACACTTTTCATAAACAAACGAAATAAAACAAAAGAAGAAAGAAAATAATCTTTGTTTAAGCAATCATAAAGAGCTGTTATTCCAACTACTAGTATAAATTTTTCTATCTCCTTTTTTCTTAATCGAACTAATCTTTTAAGGGTCAATTAGCCATCTATAACAAAAAGTGTAACTTTTTAATAGTCACATTACTCCTATTTTTTTTTTTTTTTTTAAAAAAACAAAACACATTACTCCTATTTTATGTGCTAACTACTCGTATATAAAATTAAATTTAAAAACTACGGTCTTATTCTCATTTACTGAAATGAGCTGAACTAAATTGAACTTAACTTATTAGAGCTGAACTGAACTGAAATGAATATGTTATAAGATAAGGAAATTAGAAACTGAACTGAACTGAACTGAAAATAATCTGATGAAAACAGGCGTGCTTTGCACCAATTATATAAATTCAAATTATACCATTGTTTTCAAGCATGTAAAGTGGGAGAAAATATGAACAATCTAAACAAAAATATGTTTGTGTTTATTAAAAAAAAAATCAAAATAATTAAAGACAGTGAATTCTGAGTCAAAGGAATTAAGTGACAAGAAAAAAGAAAGAAGCAGAAAAACAAATCAGATTATGTTTAAAAAATGTCTCCTAAAAAGTGTAAAAAAAGGTGGGTTTACATTTGCAGAAAGTAGAGAATCTCTTTTGAAGTTCACCGGGATTTCATTGTCACTTTTTTTACAAACCCAACCTTTTTTTTTTTTAACAAATAACACACACTTTTTTTTTTCTTCTTCTCTCTATTTTCCATGCATTGCATTGTGCTTAAAGAAGGCTTCCTTTCGTCTTTTCCCAATCGCAGAAAGTCTCACTTTTCTCCCCTTAAATCCCCATCGCCCCGATACGTATAGAACCGATAACGAGTGCTCATTTTGAAATACGTTCACCAGTGATATTTTGAGGGCGAGTCATAGTTAAGGGGTCTTGTCCGCTAATCTTAGTCAAATAATTGTCTTGTATGAGATTCTGTTTCAGTATAATGCATTTTGCTTATCTATAAAATAAATTGAAATAAAGATTAATAATTGCTACACGAGACTATATGAAATTTTTTTATATATTTTCAAGTTTTTCATAAATTAACTTTGATATTTTTTTCTTGACCTTCATAGCTTATTGTTGTGTAAATTAATATTTCACATTTTCAAATTAGTTGCTCCACTAGACTTTTTAAAACCACAATTTCACCATAATGAAATATATTCTCACATGGGGATATTGTCAAATTTTTATAGTATACATTATCAAGATAATTTTAAAAAATTATAATAAATTAGAAGTATATATATATATATATATATATAACAAATGTGCATCTTAATAATAGCTAAATTGTAATAAATTGAGTAGTAATACGGAGTATTACCTAAGTTTCATATTATTTGTAATTTTAAAATATTTTATATATCACAAATAATAGCTCAAAGTTGCAAATAATATAAAACAGAGGTAGTAGTATAAATTGAACAAATAAGATAGTACTTTACCAAGTCTAAAGTTTCCAAACCTTATAAACATCTATACAGGTTTGAAATTCTCTCTTTTTTTTTTAGGTCTAATCAAAACTATTTTTACTTAAAGATTTTAATTTCTTTAATGAAAATGCATATGATTACCATAATTACAAAGCTAATAATGGAGAAGATGAAACAAATTCAAGCACTAATTTACTCTATTGAATTGGAAATCTTGAGTAATTGTCTCTTTAGAATGTTTATATGGGGTAACTTATATTAGATTTGTTTGACAATTCATAATAGAGATAACAATACGAGTACTACCGAGTATCTAAATTTAAATCCTTTTTTAAAAATTAAAATAAAAAAATTCCTTTCCTTTCCGTTTCATACTAGATTCCCCCCTGGACAAGAATTCCATACTCCATCACACCATGCAAATCACTATTTTTGGAATTCATTTGAATAGAGGTTTTAACATCCAAATCCAAACAAATTTACAATCTTCAACCCCATTAGATATTTTGTTATTTTTCATTTTTTCCAATCCCAAAAAATTAAAATTTCATTATTTTTTTTTTAACAATTTTTTTGGTAAATAAAAAACGCATGGCATTGGCAAAAGACACAAAGACCCAACTTTAATTTCTTGGTCTGCCATACAACCAATCCCTCCATAAATATACTCACACCTTCACTTTCCTTTGCTTCCACCATCTCTCACCAACACCATTTTTCTCTCTCTCCTCTTTTTTGAGCCCTGAGTTTTCTCCCTCTTTTAAAGCTCCAATCTTTCGCCGGGAAATCAACTTTCCGGCGAATTTCCGGCACATTTTCTTCATCCTTACACCCCCACCTCAAATGGGTTAATCCCCATTTTCTCAAAAACACCAAAAAATCTCATCTTTTTCACCTCAAAAACCCCAGAAAAACCCACTTATAAAAAACCCAAAAAACAGAGCAACAAAAATGATAAAATGGATAGATTTATACCATGTTTTAACAGCAGTAGTTCCACTGTATGTTGCTATGATCTTAGCTTATGGCTCTGTAAAATGGTGGAAAATATTTTCACCAGATCAATGTTCTGGAATCAACAGATTTGTTGCTCTTTTTGCTGTTCCTCTTCTTTCATTCCATTTCATCTCAACAAACGACCCTTATTCCATGAATTACAGATTCATTGCAGCAGATACTCTCCAAAAACTCATCGTTTTGTTCATCCTCTTCCTCTGGTCTAAGCTCAGTTCAAGAGGCTCCTTAGAATGGTCAATCACTCTGTTTTCTCTCTCAACTTTACCCAACACTCTTGTAATGGGGATTCCCCTGTTAAAGGGTATGTATGGAGATGATTCAGGAACATTAATGGTGCAAATTGTGGTATTACAGTGCATAATTTGGTACACATTAATGTTGTTCTTGTTTGAATACAGAGGTGCTAAGCTTCTAATTTCAGAACAATTTCCTGATTCAGCCGGTTCGATTATATCATTCAAGGTTGATTCCGACATCTTATCCCTTGATGGGAAGGAGCCCCTCGAAACAGAGGCGGCCATTGGAGAGGATGGGAAGATACATGTTAAAGTTAGGAAGTCGACTAGTTCAAGATCCGAAGTGTTTTCTAGACATTCTCATGGATTGAATTCCATGACACCAAGACCATCTAACCTCACAAATGCTGAAATATACTCTTTACAATCTTCAAGGAATCAGACTCCAAGAGGGTCTAGTTTCAATCACACTGATTTCTACTCCTTTGTGAATGGAAAGGGTTTGGGTACTGTTAGTCCTAGAACCTCGAATTATGGAAATGCTGCATTCGACGAGGAAATTGGTTCCGGGGTCCCTGCATTTGGAGCTAGAGGAGGTGGTGGTGGTGGGTCGGGTTACCCGGCACCGCCTACGGCTGGGATATTTTCTCCTGCAACCGGGCCGAACGCGGTGTCGGGTGCCGGTGGTGTAAAGAAAAAGAGTGGCGGTGGTGGTGCAACCGTTGCGGATGGTGGTGGTGGTGGGAAAGATCTTCATATGTTTGTATGGAGTTCAAGTGCTTCACCTGTTTCTGAAGGAGGATTACATGTTTTTAGAGGTGGCAATGGTGGGTATAATAATAATAATAATAATAATAATAATAATAATAATAATAATAATAATAATAATAATAATAATAATAATAATAATAATAATAATATTAATAACAATAATGTTATTAATCATGATCATGGAGCGCTTCCTAATACTAAAGGTCTAATTTCAAACTTTTTATTAATGCATCTTTTTATTTTATGATAGGGTAGATAGATTAATATACTTTTTTAGTTTATACAAAATTGAGTTTTTATTGGATTGTTTGTTTGTTAGTATTTCAATGTTGCTTGTTTTATGTATATTGATTGATTGATTGTTTTAAATTTTTTAATTGGGTGTTATTGGTTTCATGTGATTTTGGTGTTGTAATTTTTAATTTTTGTAGTTAGGGAAGTATATTATAGTTGTTGATGTTGTATTTATGTTGTTTTCCTTTTTTTAAAAGATTCAATTTTTTGGGAGTTTTTGGATTGATGTAATGTGTTTAAATCTCTCCATAATCTACGGGAGTTTTGGTGAGTTTTGTTGGGGATATTGTAGTAATTTGGCTCTTTCTTGTTCAAAATGTTGAGGTATTAGGAAGCATGATTCTATGATTGTTCAAGATTTTGGCTTTATTTGTTGTTTTTTTTAGCAATATATTGTTGGTTGGTAATTTGGTATTAATGAATGCTTCATTAATTAATGGGTTTTACATTACATTAATTAATATTGGGTTAATTTCTACCATAATGTAGATTATGATGATTATGGAAGAGATGAGTTTAGCTTTGGTAATAAAAATGGCGGGAATGGACCTGAAGTTGATGGTCCTACACTGTCGAAGCTGGGTTCGAGTTCAACGACCGAGCTCCGGCCTAAAGCCGCTGCTCAGGGTGAAGCTAAGGCGACTAGCATGCCTCCGGCTAGTGTGATGACAAGGCTTATATTGATCATGGTTTGGAGGAAACTTATCAGGAACCCCAACACTTATTCAAGTCTTATTGGTCTTTGTTGGTCCTTGGTCTGTTTTAGGTGTGTAACTTATGAAAATCGGATTTTATAATCTATATTAACCATCATAATGTCAAAATTTTGAATGTTTGTTGCTGAATTTTGGTATATTTTGTAGGTGGCATGTTGAAATGCCTGCGATTGTTGCGAGTTCGATCAAAATTCTGTCGGATGCTGGGCTAGGAATGGCCATGTTCAGTCTCGGTAAGCACTGCTTGGTCCTCTCCGCTCTTTAGCTTTTATACATGGTTTCATCGTTCGACCTCTTTGTTACTCTATAACTACAATGTGTGTATGAGTTACAAAATAATTATTTCGACAAGGAAAAATAAATTTTAGATATAGGCTATTCGAGTTTATTTTATAAGGAGAAACAATATCAGTCAAGCTTCATTTAGGTGATCAGAATGAAGCCTTCCAAGGTTATATCATGAATTTTTTATGGAGTACGCGTACATTGTTTGATCTAAAATGAAGTGTCTGAGTGTACTAGAGGTGTTTAATTGGGGTCTCATTGTATATGTTGAATTGTAGGATTGTTCATGGCATTGCAACCGAAGATAATAGCTTGTGGGAATTCAGTGGCTACGTTTGCTGCAGCAGTAAGGTTTATCACTGGACCGGCTGTCATGGCAGCTGCGTCCATTGCAGTTGGGCTTCGAGGAACCCTCTTACACATCGCCATAGTGCAGGTAATTTGAACTACATTCATACAAGTACTTCTTGAAACCATCCATTTGGTGAATTTTTGGATAAATGTAATGTAGAGCTCACTACTCTTATTGTTTGATTTGATCCTCAGGCTGCTCTACCTCAAGGAATCGTACCATTTGTCTTCGCTAAGGAGTACAATGTCCATCCCGATATCCTCAGCACAGCGTACTAATTCTCTCCCTACTACCCTCAATTCGTGTGTGACCGTGTTACATTTTTGGACTAAATTAACATAGTCGTCATATTAAAACACTAAAACGGGTTAAGAGTACTTATGAAATGTTCGCCCCTATTCTATTGCGTGTTTTATCTGTTAGGCAATTAGCCGAACTCATATCAATCTGGTAAAAGCACTAACATGCTTGAAATAAAAAATGCAGTGTGATCTTTGGAATGCTGATAGCTCTACCAATAACACTGGTATATTACATCATACTGGGGCTATTCAGATGAACAGCAGAAGCAGCAAAGCCAGCTATGATATGATTAAAAAAAGCTGGTGGAACACAGAAGGATGGCTTAAGGCAGTGCCACTTTACAGTAGTATTAGTAGTAGATTCTTAACTTTTGGCAGTTCTTTTTTTTTGGTTAAATTTTTAGAAGAAGCCTATTTTGTAATTTATTATCTAACTGGGAGATCATAGAAGAATTTCAAGGTAGAAAAAAGAAGAAAAAAAAGGGTAGATGAGAATTAAAGAGAGAAAAAAGAAAGACAATCTCTGATGAAAAATGAAAAAAGCTGACTTTGGGGGAGAATATTAATTTTGGTTTTTGGTGGTATGTTAACATGTTTGTTTTTTTCAATTTTAACCCCTCTTTAAAATTGGTGCTTTATTTTTGATCTTTTTTTGTAAAGAAAAAAGTGATAAAGCTTTGTCTGTACTTAAGGGTTACATTTACAGATTTACTTTCACCATCAAGGTGCTAGAATCTCTTTTTGTATGAAAAAAAAGGAAAAAAAAAGGGGCAATGGATTGCATGAGTTCTTTCACAAAACTTGCTAATCCTAAAAAATAAAAATAAAAATGAAGTAATAAAAAAATTCATAAATATAATATTTTTGAATAAGAGGATTGGTTAAGTTTTTGTAAATTGCTTAAGTTGCAATTATCCATCTTTATTGTTATTGGGCAATGGATAATGTAGTTTTGAACTTTTGATGTATGTAATATTATATACTACCTCCGTTACATGTTATGTGCAACGATTTGACATAAAATAGAGAGGGAAAATGTCTAATCGTTGCACATAATCTGTAACGGAGGTAGTAGTTTGAATTTTAAACTTTGATTACCAAAACATCCCCTCAAAAGAGAAAAAGCAAAGTTTTCGCATTTTTTAATGGACTAACATATTAACCATTAAACTTTTCTTACTCCACACTGGTATATCTTTTCTTGTTCTATTGGAAGAATCTCTAAGGTCGTGCAGATTATTTTCAGTTCACTTCAACTCTAATAAGTTCAGTTCACTTCTAATAAGTTCAGTTCAGTTTTTAATTTTCTTTTCTCATAAAATATTCATTTAGTTCAATTTATCAGCTCTAATAAGTTTAGTTTAGTTCAGTTCAGCCAATGAGAATAGACCCTTAACTCTATACTTGAGAAAATTATTGCATGTGTTATTTTATAAAATACGTGTTAATTTAATCATATCAACATTGATACGTGGTAATCTCATTAGATTTTCTCATCATTAAATTGTGCTTTTTATTTGAACTTGTCTTTTTTAAATGATAACTTGGTTTTACAAAAAAAAATAAAATACTCCTATTACTTTATAAGGGTCTGTTCTCATACGTTTATTTTCAGTTCAATTCAGTTCAGTTCCTAATTTCTTTCTCTTATAAAATATTCATTTTATTTCAATTCAGTTCAGTTCAGCTGTGTTTAGTCAATGAGAAAATGCCCTAAGTAATAAGACTATAAAATATGGAATAAAATAATAAAGCATACATATTTAGTTTTTCTCAACTATTTTCAAAAATCATCTGAAATTATAGATTAATATGAAAAGAGGATCAATAAAAACTATTGATAATGAAATGTCGAATCAAGCGCTTTTTTAACAACTAAATTTAAACGGAAGTAGTAACTATTTCTAATTCGTCAATAAATAAAATAATGGTACCATGTACGGAGTAATAGACTAGAAATAGGGTAATAAAGAGGGAGGAAAAAGAGTCTTTAATACAATATGAAAAGGCAAGGTTTTAGGTTTAGGTCGGCTACATTAGAGGCTGCAATAGTACAACAGTGAGTAGTAATCATAATTACTCTTCCTAAAAAGCCGTAACATCTGTTTATAAAAGCATGCAGGATTTCATGAAACACCAATAGTAAAAAGCATATATTATAAAAATTAAAATTATAATAATATTAATTATAGTACAGTACTATGCTATAGCAGTACTTATCACAATTGATTTTAATGATGGTGATTAATTATCATAACATCTTAATCAAACCAGACAATTTGCTGTTGCATCCTGCCTGCCTATGTCAACTTGTTTTCTTTTTTTTCAACTTTTCACTAGTTTAATCACTCTCTTCAGCACACATGGTTTGAACTTATTTAACATTTTTTTAAGTTATTTCCAAAAAAAAAAAAAAAAAAAAAAAGAAGTGAAATTCAATGTTAAAGTAACATAAACTTTTGAAGATGTTTATGTTCTTTTCTTTTGGGTTGAGCATGCATGCATGCATGTTTTACTATAGATTTTATTCTTTTCTTTTGGGTTTTGTCAAATAGTGAAGTAACTATTTTCGACTTTTCATTAACTAGATTACGAATTATATAAAAAAAAGGGATTATAAAGGGATCATCAAAAGTCATCTATGATAAAATTGGTCATATGTTAGAATGACCCTAAAACTGAAAAAATGGGAAAGACATTTGGCTATTTGAGTATCTTATTATTTGAAATTTTGTATTGCTCAAAGATTTATCTAACCTAAAATCTTTCAATAGATTCGCCTATATTTTATATCCTGTGCAGTGGAAATGGTTCATATATTTGTTAAGTACTCTTGTATAAAATTTTCTCCCTGTATATTCATGGACCAAAACCACAATTCTACAATGCAAGTTATACATTGCACATTATTTCTCAACACTTGGCCTTTTGCGGATATGCCTCGATAAATTTTCATCTTATGGACAATGAAATACACACACACAAAAAAAAAAAAAAAAAAAAAACTCTTATCTAAGAACAAGTAATACTCTACTATCAATATCTTCTAGATTTAGTTGTGTATTCAATTGTCACATTATATTACTGAGTTTAAAAAACAGAGAGAGGGAAGTAAGGGTCTATTCTCTTCAGATTATTTTCAGTTCAGTTCTTAATTTCCTTCTCTCATAAAATATTCAATTCAGCCCAGTCAATCAGAAACTCAGAACAGGCCCTAAACCATCATGTACTACGTATATCCTCACAATACCAAGTATCTTACAGTGTCTAAAATGAATCGCATAATCAGTGCAGACACTCATGCACATGAATACCATACAGATTTTCATGCATACAAACTCCCTAGGATTATTTTTAAACATGATTAGTATCAGATTTTAAATGGGAAGAACAAAAGGAAACAGAAATGAAATTAATACAATAGTACTTCAAAGCAAGAATAATTAAAAGCTAAATCACCAGACCTGCAAAAGAAAGAATTCTTCATCTATTGCTGAATTGTGTATGTACAAAATTGTTCCACAAGCATACTTTTTGCCTGTTGACTAGTAGAATTTTCTTGTACAAATCATGTACTTTTTCTATAAATTTCTTTTAATAAATGCAAAAAATATGAATAAAAGGTAGTTTCCTGCTATAACTGAGATTAGACAAACGATCATAATGCTCATGCACGTTCCAAATATATGCATAGCATCCTCAAATGGCAATTGCAAGTAGCTCTGTATAGCAGCAGGCCAGCAGCACAGATCATTGAAGTCACCAGCCTCGGCACGAGTACAAAGTCATCAAGCCGCTAAATTCCATTGAGGTATAGCATCAGCAGCTAGCCAACAAAATCATAGCTCTCTATACTTGCCAATAGTTACTCCAGAAAACGAGACAACCGTGTCTCCTCTGAAGTCCCTCATTACCAATCAATCATGTTGAAGTAATTGGAGAGATTCAACCAAAGCATGCACGACTTGTGCTGAAGCAAAGTGCTTTCCATGCAGCAAAACTTCATGGCCAAGTAACGCACTGAGCCATCAATGTTGGCAAAGAGCCACTAAAAATTCACAATGCCAAGAGACGAATCAGTATCTTTCAGCTGATTTGATTCTTTTCAGAAAGTTCCGTACACGAAAAAGATGTAGTCAAATCAGTAGCAACTATTTCTGACAGCACAGACTTTTTCAACGGCTTGACGACCAGTCAAGTGCTTCCACTTAATCCCCAGCATGGCTGCTTCTTCTAAATGCCAAAAAACCGGGACCTCCTGGTTAAAAAATGTCCTTGAGGAAATCCTGATCAATGTCACCAGTGATTAGAGGTTCTTAGTCCTTGCGATTAGAGAAATGCTTTGGTTTTTCTTCATCTAAAACCGGCCCGGCCTTGGACTCTGCGTGCACATCATACAACCTAGGTCGTGGACCACCTGGGCGTGAGGTCCTAGCACCAGAGGAAAATTTACTAGAAAAAGAGTTGTAAGGAGGTCCTTTGGTTATCAAAAATTCTTTTGGAAGTGAATCCATATCCATGTAACAATTTCGAGCTTTTGCATCTGTAATCAAGGCTCCCCAGTCATCAGATTGCATCAGAGCATTAGCATTCCCCATGACCTGTCAAAAAAATGAATTACAAAATCAGCGCATACTAACATGAATAAACAATCCTCTCCCATTACACGACTCAGAATAAATCAATACTTAAAAAGAAAGTTTTTACAATACCCAAAGAGCTCTTCGTGCTCGAGTAAGTGCAACATTCATTCGACGAATATCAGCAACAAAACCAACTCCATGATTAGAGGCACGAACACAAGACATAATAATGACATCACGTTCTTGCCCCTGAAAAGCATCCACAGTATTTATGTACAGATCTCTTCCTTCCTCGGAATTGAGGACATCCTCAAACTCACGTTGCAGACATTTTAACTGCAGCTTATACGGTGTTATTATACCCACAGTGACTTTACCCAATCCCAATGATTTTGCTGTTTTATGAAGATGCTCATACATACGAAGACAGAATTGAGCTTCATGTACATTCTGATATGAAACTGATCCACCTCTGTGTGACTCACGACCATGAGTGATATCAAAAAACACATATGGTCTAAGTAAAGGATCTTGGTAGTATTTCTCATCAGGCTGGCTAGCAACACTTTCACTGTCTGTAAGCCGCCCCTGATAAAAGTACCTTGAAGGAAAGTCCCTGATTTGAGGATGCATTCTATACTGCACAGATAATAGCATCGTTGGACAGCCAGCCTGCTGAAATCTCTCAAAAAGACTTCTGCTATACAGTAAAGTTCCAGCTGCCTTGCTAATGACCGTAGCAGGAAGCTGCTGAGGATCACCTACAAGAACACAACGGGCTGCTCCAAGAGCAAGAGGAGGAAGGATACCCACTTCACTGGCCTGTGCTGCTTCATCAATCACAACCATATCAAAGCCATGAGTAAGACGTGAAAATAACTTGCGACCACTACTTGAGAGTGTAGTGAACACAACCTCAGCCTCATTAGCAAAACTCGTTTCTAGACTGGCACGAGCTTCCTCCAAATTAAAACCGCTGCCGGGACGAAATTTCCCTTCTAAAATGAGAAGACGAGACATTTCAACCAGGACTTTATCCCTTTCTTCAACTACTGCAGCAAGATTTTGCAATAAAGCATCACGATTCTGGTCCCGAGCCATAAGAACATCAGGATCTACTCCAACAGAACCTTGGGAACGGCCAGCAGCTGCAGCTGAATTCAGTTGAACCTGAAGAGTAGTCATCTGGCGAGACAAATGAGCTTCACGGCCTCTCAGCTGCTGTAACCATCCAAAGATTTCATCACGAGTTTTGATCAAAAGCTGCTCAGTTCTACGTTCGACAGAGACAGCTTGTGCTGCTCGTGACTGTGTATCAACACCAACACGTGCTACATCTGGTCTATAAACCTTCATCTCTCCGTCTATGAATCCACGATCAAGAACACGTGCAAGCAATTCATCTGTAGCAGCATTAGATGGAGCACATACCAGCATTCTAGGTTTTGGACAAAGTTTTGGTAAAGTGCGAAAAAGATTCTCATCCATGCTTCGCAAAACTTCATCAATAGATCCCGAAGAACTATTGTCAGCATTTCTGTCATTATTTTGCTTATAGCTTTCAGGTGCCAATTTTTTCAGCAAAGCTGTATAATAATGTTGATATTGAACCAGATGAATCACATTCAGCATTCCCCACACTGTATGTGTCTTTCCAGTTCCAGGAGGACCTTGAACTAAAGTAAATGGCCATGGCTCTTGTCTTTTTGTCAACCCATTACTAGTACCAGCCGCTGTGTGCATTGCAGCCCACTGAATTGCTGATAGCTGAGGAGCATTAAAAGTCCTATGAAGATGATCAACAAAATTTGGAGTGAAGCATTCAGGAATTGCAGGAGTTTGTTCTTCGTATTTGGGGAATTGTTCAGCACTTGGCTTTAGTATTGCATTTTGCATCTGTAATAGTTGAGTTGAAATTTGGTTTATGATAACATTGAAGAATTCATTCAGATTTTATGAAGGGAAGGGAGGGGGAGGGAAGGGAAGGGAAGGGGAGGAAGAGGTAAGGGACAGGAAGGAGGACAAGGGATAAAGGTTAGGGACAGTGAAAAGAGAAAATGAGGAAGCAAGGGAAGAAGTACGCTTCTATATTCCTTCCGAATCAGAGGAAAAAAGATGAAAGTTTTGGTTTATTAAAAGGGAAAGGACGGATCCCTCCAATTCTTTTCCCTATTCTCTGCCCTTACTATTTCCAAAAAAAAAGAAAATAGACCCATCACTCTCACTGTCCTCCCTTTCCCTTCAAGGTTTCTAATCAAACACACAATAAAATAAATTTCACCTGAACATTTAGGCGGCGAAAGGCGTGCAGTGCAACATACTCCCGTTGTGTTGTTGCAAGGGAGCCAAGTACACTTAAGAACCAGATGCTTCTAGGCTGAAGTTTTTTCACTACATGATCATTATCAGTGCTGTACAGGAAGTATAGATTATTTTAGACTCTGCAAGAATAGTAATCAATGGTATACAACGGTATAATATGCAGAGCATAAATAAACTTGAGACAAATTTGATGTCTTTTAACTGACCTATTTGAATCATAAGAATCCCCAACAAAAAAATGAAGTATTGCACCCTGAGGATCGCGAATGTCAAGAGGAATGTGTCTTCTGACTGTACCCACAGTACGTGCACTCCCTTCAGGCTCTTCGTGTTCTTCAGCAGATGAATTACCATTTCTCCTAGATCTGGCTGCTCCAAACAACAAATAAAAAATTATCTATATGTACTGTATGTACAGATGAAGCAAAAAACCAAATAAGATAAGGACAAACCTGAACCAGGCCTTGGAGAAGAAAGAACTGCAACATCACCCTCCTTAAAAGTCCATTTGGTCTCATTTGCAGGTAGAACCACCACATCATACCATCCTAGCTCCAAAAAAAATAAAAACAGGTAAGGAGCCAAGTATACACATATAAATCTAATAGTAACCTCATTATTATTATTATTATTAATTATTACGAGTAATATTTTTTTCTTGTCACAGTCAGACAGCATATTATTACACTTCAGAGATAAGACACATTTTTCCAGTAAGAACTAGAGAGAAATAAAAACAACAAAGTGACCAACATATCATGGAATCAGGTATTGCTAAATTGGTATCAGAAACAGATTTGGGTGTTTGACACATTAATTTTGGAAATAATGAATATAAAGATGCCTTCCATAATTTGGAACACAGGTAAAAAGACAATTTTATGGAGAACTACATTTTATATACAAAGTGCCACATTTACAAACTACATATAATAAAGATATCATAACAGCTGCTTCATAAGATACTCTGTTTGAAATAAAGATCCAAGTTTTCTTCTCAAACTTTAAAATATTCAGTACCATCAACTAGAGTACAACACTAACACTCTATGTTACTCATACTTTTCACTTCACTTCACTTCATGTACCATCAACTAGAGTACGACACTATCACACTAGCACTTTAAGTTACTCCTACTTTTTACTTCATGTACCCGTGTTGGATCCTAAACACTCCAGCATGATTAAGGACACTTTGACATTTCATTTTGGCCCAGAATCAAGTAAAGTTTCACCAAATAGCAGTCGGACAGACACTTAGACAGACATCACAAATACCTGAGTCCAAGTAACACTGCTACAACTCATAGCCAAAAGGCAACACAGAAATGATCAAGGTAGAATGTCTACACATATTACTCTCCCTCTTCCTGGTTTTTTTCTTCCCTAAAGTAATCATGCCAAAGTGCAGCTTCCAATGTCTAAGCCATATTATATACCTGGCTGTGCGTTGATTCATGTCAACACATGATGTAGGAGCCAAAGTTTGGGCAATAACTGCTGATGTAGCTATTCTGGTTAAATTGCACCAAGTTCCTTGACTAATCACCAAAGGTTGGAGAATCAACCCAGAAGCTTAAACATTTGCTTTTACATTAAGAAGTAAAAACTTGCTGCTCTTACTAAATCACGTGTAGGAAATGAAATATCCATATTACCTCTTTCACGCCTTTCGATAGATTTCACACGGACCATCACATGCGCATCTCTCGAAGATGTTTCAGTTAACTCCTCCCATGTGCTGTATAGCTGCGCTCGACACTCCTCAAAAAGCAAAGGCTCAAAAACCCTAATATAATCTTCTACTGATTCAAACCGACCAGGGACACATTGAAGTTCAGATTCCTCTGCCAAAAGTTAAAAAAAAAAAAAAAAAAAAAAAAGACCAGTCAGGAATTGAAGCAATAAATTATAAATAGAACAAAAAAAAAAAAGAGGGCTTTGTTCCGCAAAACGAATCAAGGATATCCATTATAAACCAGTCTAGGAGTCACTTCATAAAAGTGCACATGTATGCTTTTATTTATACAGAATGCACTTCCATTTTCCATGCTCAATCAACTACTCCTAGTATATAATGGCCTAGGAAGAACTATCAGTTGATTGTTTGGGATTCTAAAATATCTAAAAGTTAACATTAAAAATATTTTTTTATATAAAAATGACGATGCAATAGCCATTGTAATAATTTTCTCCATTTGTCAAAGGATAATGGAATGCATAACCAATTTTAAATCATTTAATACCAAGTTCTTATTTGCATCACCTCTAATGTTTAGAACATGAAATTGAATAGCAAAATAAAATTGTACAACCACAAATTTAAGACAACAAAAAATGTGTCTAAGATGATAGATAGTGTAAAATAAACAAAAATTAAATATTAAAAAAAAAAAAAAAAAGGCCAGCCTGATTAATACATGCACATACAAACAAAATACTTAAATATATGTACCTGGATTATGCCAAAACTTTTCACTAGTCACTTCTCGCAAAAGACGCTCCACTGAAGTATCTTGATATTGGTTATTGGTCACAAGTTGCCTCTTAGGAGGATTTTTTTTGTTTAACAGTTTTACATCAACTGAGCTTGAGCCATGGCTACTTGAAGCTAGCTTCCTTGATTGGGTCTGTGGATCCTTAGACTGCCTTGAATCAGTAGGTTGTTTCCACAAATTAGGCTTACTGTTTCCCTCTGCTGAGAGATCATTTGAACTATTTAATCTTCTAGGCCTAGCTAGAAGCTCTGCATTCAAATCACTGTTGGATTCAGATTTACGATCAATAGGTTCCATGGAACTACGTTCTTCATTGCACGGAAAATCAACCTGATTTTGATCCTTAGTTGCCTGCTCATTCTGCTTTTCTCCATTACGCTCTGCAGATAACCGTAAACTTCGGGTTCCCTTGACCGGACGAGTGCCAATAGGTATTGGAACAGTCTGCCTTTTAGGAGTTGAAGACTTTACTGCACCAGCTTGCTTAGCATCTTCTATATTTAGAAACATTGTTTTCCGGCTCCGCTTTTTGCCCAGCATTGCTTCTTTATGCTCATCAAGCTTGTGTTTACCTAGACTATTAGCACATTTCAAAGCATGAATCGCTTCAACTCCTTTTACTTCCTTTTGTTTAGGGACAGGCTCTAAATCTCCCTGAATATCCATGGAAGAATTAAGTTCAACATTTCCATTCAAATTCTGGCTGGTGCCACCTGCAATATCATTTGCTAAAGCATCCGATCTAGCTGAAGAATAATCATGATGACTTTTCTTGGAATCAGCAGGACTAGAATCACGGGAATTTCGCTTCAAGGACTTCCCAGAAGAAGATTTATTTACTGCTACACCAGCAACTCCTTGCTCATTTAAGTCTTTGTTGCTGCTGGGAGATGATTTTTCTGACACACTTTGGCTTAAAAGGGGCTCAGTAAATTCCCCGTCAGACCATTCTCCTTCTTCTTTTTCGATAGCTTGAGAATTTTTATTGCCTAAATTTACCATTGTCACCTCTTTCCTATCACTATTTTCACCTACTTCGGGCAATGAGGCTGTGTTAAAATCCATATCTCCAGCCCTTTTCTGATCATCAATTCTATCTAATCTGGACTCTTTTATTCTAACAAAAGGTTGAAAACCAGAAACAGAAGAAGCGTGAGAAAAGGCATTGTTATTTACAATGCTGGGTGGGGCAACTGATGACACAAGAAGATCAGAAGTGCAAGAATTTAGAGAGGGGAGAACTTTTTGAGGCTGGACACCAGGTGAAACATCAATCTCTTCATCAACTTCCGCGGGGGTTTCATTAAGATCAAATAATGGCCTCCCACGGGATCCCATTTCTCACATACATTCATAAACCTGTGACATTAATTTCAAAAAAGATTCAGTTTTTTTCCAGCTATAACTTGTCAAATATACTTGAACTGTCAGAAATGATTTGAAAATAAGTGAGTATAAGCAATTCATATTGACACAAAAGTTATAGAATTCTGCAACAGTCCAGATGATACAAAAACTTCAATTATGCACCATTTTTAGCAAGAATTATCGAAAAGACTGGTAAAAATGTAGACATAGATACAAATTACTTTTCTGTCAATTTGTAATTTAGCTATTTTCAGAAAGTTTTCCAAACACTTACTTCATCTTTATACAAACATTACTTCTAAAAGAGCCCTTAACTTTCTCATTTTCAAAGACTACCAACTCCAAAAGGAGATGCCACATTCATTTAAATAAGTTATACGTGGGCATTGAATCACTATGGATAGGGAAGCGTTATCTTACAAAATGTGATTTAATAATTTTTCCGCAATCCCCATCTAAATGGGCAAAAAAAGTTAGCAAACATAAGGAAGCCCCACAACCCTGAGCAACACCCCCCCCCCCCAAATGTTATAGATTAATAGTGGGGAAAAAAAAAGAGAGAGAAAGAGAGAGAGAGAGAGAGAATAGAGAAATCTTCACAATCCTATCACTGACTTAGACCTAGAACTTGCTACACAGAAATCAATCAGCCACCACATGTGATCACCCATAGCCATCAGATCATGTCATGTTTGTGTTATTCTGGGAATCTGGGTCAGTTTTAACCATTTGAGTGCATTCAGATTCCGATAATTAGGGCAAATATCGCACTTTCAAGCCTTATCGACTGGCAGCAATTGTCAAGCCAATGTGGTCACACAGGTAAAATTTAATCAAACTTTTACTAATATTATCATGTCAATAAAGGTCAAGCCATGTTGAACACATTCGAGTTGGACAAAGTGAGTTGGAAAATGTAATGAGTATAAGTGTAAAACTAATTTCTAGGTCGAAATTTAACACTTCCAATTAATAATAATCACTTTCAATGGTTCAATTGAGTTTGAGGTTTTAATCAAATTTAGTAAATAACACATTGACTTCAATTGGGTTTTCGTTTTTTCTTAGGATAGTGGATGTGTTCATATATAAACCACATAGAATGAGGATTGAGATTTTTCTAGCACTGGGAACACTTCAGGTTTGGGTTTCATCTGTCAAATTTTGTTTACAGTGGTCTAATCTACGATGACCAATTGCTTGGGGCTTTTTGGTCAATATACGGTTGGTTTCTCACTGACAATCTTTCGCAACTCACCACTACACCAACCTACATCTCAAAACCCGCACATGTAAACACCCCCCTCCTCATAATTCATTACTTCCAATCAAATACCAGCAAGGTAAGGTATATCAATAAACAGAAAATTCATGGTACTAGTGCTGGGTGTTTTAGATTTCTAGAAGAAGTCAAGAGTAAGAATCTCACAATAATTGTTTTAGCAAGACATAAAATCCGCAAGTTTCTTCCATCACTACCATGACAACAGGGGCAGGGAGTAATGGTAACATATAATAGGCTGTTCCCATTGACACACCACATAAAAACTTGTATATTTTGTCTACTGTCTACATAACCTTCATTGTCAAATATTAATCTCTACAGTCCCAAATCATCTTATCATCCAATATCAGTGAATAAAAAATCAGCAGTCAACAAAGCATCAAAAACAAGTTAGTGACTAAACAGACACGCTCGGACTGGCAAATAAAACTGATCAATAACAAAATCAGTCTCCAAATATTACATCGAGCAAACTCAGGGCACAATGGCAACACCATACCAAAAACATAGTGCACATTAAGACAATGTCATATAATGCCCAAATACCTCAACCTGCGCAAACTAAACTTTAAGATAGGTTCATTAGAGCCTAACTCAACTCGAATTCGACAGAATAAACTCAGCTCGATTATGCAACACATAAACAACCAAATTTGACCACTCAATCATCAAATTAGGCTCCAAGAAAATCACATAAAAACAAATTGCAGATAGCAAAATTGCAGCAACAAAATCACTAATAATAAGCAATCGTAACTTGAATAATCACAACCAAATAGTTCAATAATCCACCTTAAAAGAACCCGGCTTTCGCTGAAATTGGATCTGAGGAGTCCGATAACCCGGAAACAAGCAAACTTCAGGTATACAGTTAGTTCTGAAGCGATTCTCTTGTTGACTTCGGATCTGAGAATCAACCTAACCCTAAAACTAACAATAAAATTAACGATAGTGTGAAAATTAAACCCTAGATTGTGAAATTATTCGATGATTAAAATTAAAATAAGAAAAGGGAAAGGTGTATTATTACCTTAGAAGATGGCTTCAATGGAGGAGAGAGAAAGCTTGGAAGTGCGCTTCAATGGAGAAGTGAAGAGTATGCTTCAATGGAGGAGAGAGAAAGAGAGAGAAGTTGCAGCGTAAAAGTGAAAAGCTCCAATTGGGAGAAAAATTAAACTGAAATTATAGGAAGATGAAATCGGGAAATTTAATCAAACGAATATAATGTCATCCATCAGATCTGGATATTATCTACGGTTAACATTCATTCTCGTACCAAAAATAATACTCCTCCATCAATACCTGAATATTTGATACACTTTGACTTTTATCGTAACTTTGACTAAGTATCAAAATCTTTGATTGTGTATTAGTTAGTAGAAGTAACTATAGTATTACGTATTGAATTTTCATGTTTCATGTTTTGTTAACTTCATCGGTTTTTGCTGATTTATGTCAAGGTGTCAACCTGCGGAGTGTGTGTTATAATTTGTTGCTAAGGTAGTGTTGTAACTCGAAATCAAGTTTTCTTAAGAGCTCGAAATCGGATAGGATAAGAACCAAATCACCATATAGTGAGTTAATGCGAAAGCAGCTCTTCCTTCATTGCATCGAGCCATAAATTTCTCTCATCAGATGAAAGTACTTCCTGATAACTCTCTGGCTTTCTTTTCTAACTCAAATATCACATCCAGGCATCGGTTCGTAGAACTTATAAAAAAAAGATGGGTTAAGGGTGAATTTCTCTTTTTTAGCTAGAGTCGAAAGGTCGTGAGCCAGTGGCGGGGGGATGGATGGTGGTTCTTGTTAATCACTAGTTTAGGAACGTTATGAGAAATTGTTGAGTCTAAATTTTTGGCACAAGGTGAAATGCTAATAAACCTAATTCTTTCGAGAATCTACGTTGATTTGTTACCAATTTCATCGTCTTTTTACAAATTTTTGTTGCATATTTTCTTGAATTAAAGTAGTTTTTGCGTTTTTCTAGCAATAAATAATAAATAAATAAGGAAGAATATCTCTATCATTAGGTATTTGATTTTTTTGCTTTTAACTCTACTGAGATAAATCACGTGTGTTTCTTGCTTTCTTCGTTGGATAGAATGGAAACATTGCTACTGTAACATTTGTAGTGTTCTTCGGCTGAAATTTACATTAGTTCTCTTCATGTTGACATGATGTACAAATGCAATGGTGATTTAAACAGATTATTCACCGCAAATTAAGAGTATTGTTGGTTCTGAAGCAACTAATTGTGTTTTCTTGTTACTCGGTCGTTTTGTCAAAAGCTCTAGACTTTTTAGAGGCTTGTAGTATTAGTCAACTTCATTGGTTTTGTACATCTAAAATCCGATTGTTTGATTTACTCCTTGCAAACTCCAACTCATCTTAAACTTCAAAAGACTAATAAAAACAATCATTTTTTATACCTCAAAAAAGTTGCACATAGCTTTCTTTCCTAGTATATCCTTCGAAATATTTTGCTTCCTGTAGCTTAAATTTGTTCTAGAATACTTTTGGATCCTATATTACTAATACACAATGTTATAACACCATTCAACCTTATATTACCCGACTTATTTGCAACTATGATTATTATTTTTAGCATTGGTGATAAAGTTCACTTTGGTAGGCATGAAGACTTTATAAAAAAAAAAAAAGGGGTATATTTTAGCTGTTAAGGATCGACTGATTAATGTCATTTCCCTAAGCTAATGCTAGACGTATACATCAAGTGTTCAATATTGTAGGATAAAGTGCCCAGTTGCCTCCCGAATTTGTGCTTTAGGCAGGACCTAGTTTTGTTGTTCAAGGTGTATATTTAGGGTTCGTTTGACATTGTTGTGGTTTTCTGTTTTTTGGTTTTTTGTTGTATAAAAATATATGATATATGTCACATAATGAATAAAAATTTATTTAAACTTATTAAAATCATAATAATTTTGAAAACTGACAACAAAAAAGTGAAAGCACCTTTTTCTTGTTTCCTTTTTTGGTTTTTAGTTTTCTAAAAAAACAGGGAACTAAAAACCAAAAATGACGTCAAATAAGCCCTTAGTTGCTAACTTGTTTTATGGTTATGAGAGATGCATAACTTTTTTTTTTTTTTGACAAGCATGTAGGTGATATTATTTGCTTAGATACATCTTTTAAGTAATATATATATATATATATATATATATATATATATATATATATATATATAAAGGAGTATCGAATATTGCAATCTTTTAAGTAAGCTTGTATACTATAGTCACTATACTCGATACAACAATCCGTCACTGTGATATGAATAAGACTGAATTACACAGAGTATTATCTAAAAGATAAAAGAAATGATATTGATTTAAAGCAACTTCAATGAATGTATTTGGGAATTTACTTGCAATTTAAGTCTTTAGCTACAAGCATGATGATAAGTGGTTTATTTGACCACTTATTGTGTCAATTTAGACCCGATTTTGCATTCATTTCCCCTCTTTCTAACCCGTTTTTGAATGAAAATGTTTTGTCTCGGCTTTTCCCCTCTTGATTTGTGTTTGTCCATGTTTTGCAGGTCTATGGACTCAATTTGGCAAGCATTCGGTGCATGGTTTGTGTTCAAGGCAAGGAAAATTGAGAATGGAGAGGGCGCTCCAGCTGGAGCGGGCGTGCACCCCTCAGGAGCGGGCGCTCCAAACCTTCTGCCAAGTTTCTGCCAAACTTAATGTCAAGTGCACCCTGTGAGGAGTGGGCGCTCCTCCTCAAACTTTCAAAATTGTATGTATTCTGAAGACAGCTAAAGCGGGCGCGCAACATTCTGGAGCGGGCGCTCCTGGCCGTGGAGCAGGCACTCCTTCGCTGGGAATCCGTTTTCTTTTGACGGATTTCCCTAAGTGTTTCGGGGAGTATAAATACTTCCCCCTTAGTTCATTTGTGGGAGAGACAAAAATAGCCTAGTTTTTAGAGACTCCTCTTAGTTTGAAACATTCCTTTTAGTTAATTTAGCTTAATTTTCATCAATTCAATCATTGTAATAGTTGGTTTCAAGTTTGTTTCTCAAGATTGACACTTTGTATTCAACAATTTCAAGCCTCAATTAGTAACTTCCTTCTACTTTTCTCCATTCAATTTCTGATTTTATTTGTTGTTGCATGATATTTAAATCTTTTTAGTTCTTGATAATTTGTTATTGGATATTAGTTATTTCAATTGTTAATCACTTTTCCCCAATTATTGAAGAAGTTAGAACCCTAATACTTGTTTGAATTGCATGTTGATAAATATGAGTTGTGAGTAGTCTACTTGCTAGGGGTTGGGTGAAGCTCAACCTTTTGGGTTAATTATGCAAATGTGGGAGAAGCATTGATGTTTGTATTGCAATTAAATTGATTATATGAGATTGCTTGTTAGTTCTTCAATGATAGGATTAGCTACCCTTGATTTAGGAGCTTGATAGCATGATATGCTTAGTTTGACATGGAAATGTGAATGAAGCATGGCATTACTTATTGCAATGTGATAATGTATCTTCTATTGATAAACTAATGAGGAATCTAAGTTTAGTAGTGCGAGTTGTTTCCTAATTGCATGAGATTGATCTTACATATAGTCCTTTCTATCTTATCTATTTCACTCCCCGTTTGTCTATTTGCCTTGGTTGAGTGGATCCCATTCCCTAGTGTCCTTAATCCATTGATTTAGAACCATAGTTTGTTTGTCTTCTCGACGAACCCCAATTCACCATTGACTTCGAATTAGCTTAAGTGTTAAGATCTTTGGCAACCATATCCCGTTCCTTGTGGACCGAACTCTTACTTGTCATTATGCTTGGTTTGTAAGGTGTTTGTTAATAAATGTGTTTGCTTGAGTGTGGAATGTGCGACCGTTCTAACGCCCATCAAAATGGCGCCGTTTCTGGGGAACGGTGTTGTTGATTGCTAATTGATTACTTAAGTCTAGTTCACCATAAAACAACAAAAAAAAATTTCAAAAAGATTGTTTCGTTTTGGCTACACTTGTAGCCTTGTTACTAATTGCGTTTGTTGAGAGTGTATGCGCAGAACTCATAACAGGATCTTGGTACCTTACGATCCCGAGATTGAGCAAACCTATAGAAGGAGAAAGAGATCCGGTTCTAGGCCGTTTACTACTCCCCCAACTAGAGAGACCAATTTCGAGGAGGATCGAGATCAAATGGGTGACGCGGAACCACCACCTCAAAGACCTTTAAAGGAGTTGGGAACTCCGGGAGCTTATAGAGCTTCAAGCGACATTGCTCCACCGTTACTCAAGCCAATGACTTCGAGATTCGGCCCGCAATGATTAATTTGATTGAAAGGAGGCAATATAGTGGAGCAAAACATGAGAGCCCTCTTGCACACTTGAACGAGTTCGAAAAATATTGCAACACGATCAAGGTAAATGGGGTAACTCAAGAGTTTGTGAGACTAAAGTTATTTCCTTTTTCTTTGATAGGAAGGGCTCTTGAATGGCTTGAGAGGAGGTGAGGCCTAACTCCTTGAGAACTTGGGACGAGGTCTCCACGACTTTCTTAGGGAGATTCTATTCTCAAAAGAAGACGGCCGAGCAAGGGCTTTGATCCAAGGATTCCGTCAAAAGGCTAGTGAAACCATATATGAAGCATGGGAACGATACAAGGAATATCAAAGGGAGTGCCCTCATCATGGAATTCCATCATATCAAGTGCTTCAAATTTTCTATGGGGGCTTGAGCCCACAAGGAAAGACTAGCTTGGATGCGGGAGTGGGTGGCCCGATTATGAACAAGATGGAGGAGCAAGTCATAGAGATAATTGAGGATGTGGTGAGGCACCACATGGATTGGCAAGAAGGAGAAAGTGAGAGTCTCTAAACAAGGGAGGAAATGCGGTTTACTCCGTTGATCACCTTAATGCCATTAACAATTTGACTTCCCAAATCGCCAACCTCGGAAAGGAGATGACGTCCATCAAGGCAAAACTAGAGACCTCTAGTTCAACACAAGAGCATCCCTCCAAATCTAAGGGGAGAGGTATGAATTCTAACTCTTCTCCCTCTAATTCTAATAACATGCCTCATGGATGTTTGTTTTGTGAAAATTGTGGGTCATATGACCATGATACCTCTTCTTGTAATTATGATTCCCAACCCTAATACGAAGATGGTAATGAAAATGAAAATGAACAAGTCAATGCCTTGTCTTATGATAATAGACATAGGAATGACAATCAAAGATACTACCACCAAATCGAAGAGAACAAGGGGAGAATTCCTATAACCAAAGAGGAAATGATTACGATTACCATAACCAAAATCAATGGGGAAATAGGAACCAAAGGGACCAAAATCCCCAAGGTAACTACAACCAACAAGGTGGTTATGGTAACCATAATCATAATAATCAAGGAAACTATGGGAATCAAGGGCAATTTCACCAAGGGGGAAACTCTAATAATCGGAACAATTGGAACAACAATAATAATAGAGGTTCTTCTAATCAAAATGCGTCCAATTCGAATGTTAGAGGTAATAGGGCTTCCCAAGACTGCACAAGCACCACATAGTAGGTCTAGCTTGGAGGAAATGATGGAAAATCAAACTAAAATGTTCAATACTTTCATGGCCTATAGTGAAAAGAAATTTAGTGAAGTCATGACCCATAATAAAATGCTCGAGACACAAATTTCTCAATTGGCCAATGCTTTTAAGGAAGGGACTAGCACTTCTAAACTACCACCCCAAGGACTAGATCCTAAGAGGCCCGTAAATGTTATATCAACAAGGAGTGGTAAAGTGTTGGAAGAAAGTGTTCCTAAAAAAAGCAATGAGATAATTAACATGAGTGAGCCTCCCCTTAAAAGTGATTTTGAACAAGAGAGAGAGCAAAACCATGAAAATGAAAAAGAGAAAGAATGTGAGAAAGAAAAAGAATTTGAGAAAGAGAAAGATTTTGAAAAAAAGAGTGAAGAGAGAAGTGAAAAAGAGAGAGAAACAAAACAATTGCAAAAGCTACCATATCCTCACAAATTTGTTAGAAACAAATTACATGTGCAATTTGGAAAATTTCTTGAAACATTAAAACAAATTCACCTTTCAATTCCTTTTACCGATGCTATCAAGCAAATGCCTAACTATGCTAGGTTTTTGAAAGATATTTTGAGTGGAAGGAGAAAGTGTGAATTGGTTGAAACGGTGAGTCTCACCGAGAATTGTAGTGCAATTATCATGAACAAGATGCCACTCAAATTGAAAGACCCCGGTAATTTTTCTATCCTATGTGCAATATACAAGATGCAAATTGATAATGCTTTGTGTGACCTAGGGGCTAGTGTTAGCCTAATTCCATACTCGGTATACCAAAGACTTGGGATAGGAGAACTTCTACCCACCAACATCACCCTACAATTGGCCGATCGCTCTATTAAATTCCCAAAGGGTCAGGTAGAGGAAGTTCCTCTAAAGGTGGGGAAGTTTGTAATCCCGGTGGATTTTGTTGTGTTAGAGATGGATGAAGATGTTAACATTCTAATAATTCTAGGAAGACCTTTTCTTGCTACTTCGGGTGCTTTAATAGATGTTAAAAGTGCTAAAATTTCACTAAAAGTAGGAGATGAGGTGATAGAGTTTGATTTGAATGAGATCATGAAATATCCAAGCTCTAGTCTTGATAATTGTATGATGATTGATACTATTGATTCTATTGTGACTTCTATGCATGAGCACTTGCTCACTACTAACGATGCCCTTGAGAATGTCCTTTTGAATAAGGAAAAGATAGGTGAGCAAGGCAAGGAGATGACATTGTATGAAGAAATGCTTGAAGGAAGTACGGAAGAAAGCATTGAGCAAGTATGCATGGGAATCACAAGAAATGATGCTTTGGAAATAGCTACCTCAAGTGAAGGTAAGGGTGTTCCAATGGTAGAGTTAAAACCTCTACCATCACACCTAAGGTATGAGTTTTTGGGTCCTAATTCAACTTTTCCGGTAATAGTGAATTCTTCTTTGAACGAGTGCCAAACTCAAATGTTATGTGGTATTTTAAGAAACCACCAAGGTGCTTTGGGCTATACCATTGATAACCTCAAGGGTATTAGTCCCGCTTTATGTATGCACCACATAACACTTGAGGAGGGTGCTAAGCCTTCAATTGAGAGGCAAAGGAAACTCAATCCTCAAATGGGGGAGGTGGTGAAGAAAGAAATCACCAAACTCCTTGATGCCGGCATCATCTTCCCCATTTCGAGTTCTAGATGGGTTCCCCCGTTCATGTGGTCCCTAAAAAGGGAGGAATGACCGTAGTTGAAAATGAGAATGGTGATCTCATTTCAACTAGAACGGTGACCGGTTGGAGGATGTGCATAGACTATAGACGTCTTAATGCATCCACTAACAAGGATCATTTTCCTCTTCCTTTTATCGACCAAATGCTTGAAAGACTAACAAAGCACAATTATTATTGCTTTCTTGATGGTTATTCGTGTTTCTTTCAAATCCCCATAAACCCGGATGATCAAGAGAAGACAACGTTTGCTTGTCCATATGGTACTTTTGCATATAGGAGAATGCCGTTTGGACTTTGCAATGCACCGACAACCTTTCAAAGGTGCATGATGAGTATATTTTGAGACATGCTTGAAGCCGAAATAGAAGTGTTCATGGATGATTTCTCGGTTGGGGGCCTTTCATTTGAAGATTGTTTGTCCAATTTGGGCAAATGCTTAGCAAGATGTGAGAAGGTCAACTTGGTCCTAAATTGGGAAAAATGTCACTTCATGGTTGAAGAGGGAATCGTCCTTGGTCACAAGATATCAAGCAAGGGGATTGAGGTCGACAAGGCCAAAGTTGAAGTGATTGAAAAATTGCCACCTCCAATTAATGTGAGAGGAGTAAGATCCTTTTTAGGGCATGCCGGGTTCTATAGGAGATTTATCGAGGATTTCTCACAAATTGCTAGACCCCTAAATGCTCTTCTTCAAAAGGATGCCATCTTTATTTTTTATGAAAAGTGTCTTCAAGCTTTGATAACTTGCTAATTGATATGATTTTAGGGTGTTTTGAACCTAGTTTACTTGATAAAATTTGCGTTTTGGTTCATTTTTACTCTATTATTATGCAATTTTTGTGTATCCTATGCTTCACGGGTTGTTGGTGTTTTTGTTAAGATTCTAGGTTCAAAAGAACGACCAAATGGAGCCCATGGATACAAAGCCGAGGTTAGAAGCAAGAAGATGGTTAAAAGAAGCCAAGGAAAGGAGCAATATAGAATAAAAGATGGAAAACAGGGCTTAGAAGACCCTGGACGGCCGTGCCAGACCTTGCACCTCCGTGCAGGAGTGCTCCAGAAACTTAGAACATTCTGCCAAGGCCTGCACGGACGTGCCAAATTAAGCACGCCCGTGCAGATGTAGCTGCACGTCCGTGCGGAGCTGCTCGATTCTTAGCAGTACGTTCTGCCTCAATTCTGCCCCCTCTGCACGTCCGTGCCGAATCTGGCACGACCGTGCTTATGCTTGCACGTCCGTGCCGAATCTGGCACGTCCGTGCGGACCTGCAGTCAAGCCCGATTCTTGTTTTCTCCGTCCTTTTTATTTGGGGGTCTTATAAATACCCCCTTTGAGCTCATTTGTAGGGATTATGCAGTTTTTTAGAGCTTTCCTCTTAGTTTGTAGTCTTAGAACATTAAATTCTCAAATCACTAGTTAGTTCTCAATTATTAGCTTGGAAACATTCAAATTCAATCATTGTGGAAGACAAAATCCACCATTGTTGCTCACTTTGAAGCTTCATAGTAACCATTTCTTACTCATCTTTTCTACTTCTCTTTACTTTGTTGTTAATTATTCTCTAGTTCTTGCATGTTTTGGATTGTTAATTAGCTTAATCCTTAGTTTGAACTTGTTCATGAATTGCTTGAAATCTTTAATTGCTTTAACCCCCATGGATTGTGAGTAGTCTAAATTCTAGGGTTTGGGCAAAACCCTCAATGTAGTCACTAATTACTTGTTGCATGTGCTAATTTGGTTGTTGTGGGATGTTAATTAGTTGAGCTTAAGTGGTTTAATTGCTTAGTTCTTGTATATGGCCATTGCTAGAACTATTTATCCAAGCTTTCTCAACGAAGGATCGAGATATGAACTTGAGTTAGCTCCCTTATGCTTGATTGACCCGAAATGCCATGAGAATAGGGATTACCGGTCAAGGGAATGTTTATGTCATCGTGATTATGCTTTAACACTTGTTTTATGCTATGTAACCACGAGAGTAGGTTGTATTCACGATTCAAGTAATCCCTCTAGCTTGAGAGAGTAGTTGGGTGCTTTAGATGACTTCCCCTAATTTGTCCCATTAATTTACCTTGATTGTAGCATGCTAATTGTGATTTGTGATGAAGTTGAGTGGTATAACCCGAGCCCTAGATTCCTCTTAATTTTGTTAATCTCCTCTTAGCTTTAGTCGAATTGAATTAGAAGAAGTTACTTATAACCAACCCAATTTAGAATTCATTTAGCTTATTTAAACGGTAGTACTCGGTGGTTGATTCAACGCCTCTCTTGGGTTCGACCCTTTCTTACCCTTACTATTGTTAGTGAGACCAAGATAGGAATCATTATCTTTGGTAGGCTCGACGACGGCCTATCAAATTTTGGCGTCGTTGCCGGGGAGGCAAAGTCACATTGAATGTATTATTGTTGAATGAGACTAGATGTGTGTATATGTATAGTAGTTTTCTTACCTTAATTTTTGTTTATGTGTGTTTAACTTGTGATAGTCATTGCTAACGTTTTTCTTAGCTTTGTTTGACTTTGCATGACACGAAAGAGTAAGCAATCACCGCTTATTCCCGTTGATCCAGAGCTAAATAGGACTTTGAGAAACGTGAGGAGACTCTTGCAAGGCACACCCGAGTTTTCCATTGTATATTCGGATTCCGATCCGGAAGAGGTTTTTGGAACTAAAGAAGAAGATAACATGGGAGAGAATCCTCCTCAACCATTGTTAAGAGACTATGACCACCCCAACGCATTCCAACTTCGGAGTGGCATACGTCTTCCCACCACAAATGCAAACAACTTTGAACTTTCACCTCAACTCATCCGTATGATTCAAAGCGATCAATTCAGAGGTAGTCCTCATAAGTGTCCTTTTGCTCATTTGGACAACTTTCTTGAGTTGTGTACAACCATCAAGCAAAACAACATTTCGGAAGAGTTCATCCATATGCACATGTTTCAATTCTCCCTCCGTGATAAAGCAAAACATTGGTTGAGAATGGTTGAAGAGGGATCATTGAGTACATGGGACGAAGTCACTAGAGCCTTTCTTGGAAAGTATTGTCCTCCGGAAAAGACCGCCGAATTAAGAAGAAAGATCACCAATTTCAATCAAGACATTGATGAAACATTGAGTGAAGCTTGGGAGCGTTTCAAAGATTACACAAGGAAATGCCCCCACCATGGTTTTACATCATGGATCATTGTACAAAGCTTCTATGACGGTCTTACTCCTATTTCAAGGGCCAACCTTGATTCCGGGGCCGGTGGTAGCCTCAAAAAGCTATCGGTGGACGATGCATACAAGATGATTGAAGAAGTGGCCAAGCATTATGCATATGGAGGTGATAGAAGGCAACCTCAAACAAAGAAGGGCGGAATTCATGATCTTAGTGCAATAGATCTTATTGCATCAAAGTTTGATATGCTAGCTCACAAGCTAGATCAAGCCACCCTCACACCCTCAAGCTCTTCCTCGCAAGTCATGTCTTGTGAGACTTGTGGAGGAAATGATCACTTGTCCTCTTATTGCAACTCAACGAATCAAGAGCAAGCGACGACAATTGGGCAAAGGAATGAACAATACTCCCAATCCCACAATCAAAGTTGGAAGCCCCAACAAAACACGGGATGGAAGCAATACAACCAAGGCCCCCCACAAAATAACTACAACCAAAATCAAACCCAACCTCAAAACCACTACAACCAACCTCATTCTCAAAACCAACAAGCTTCATACCGCCATCCCAACCAAAGGGATCAAAACCACCAAAGATCACAATATAACCAACCCGCTCCTCCTCCACCTCCTCAAAAGACTAGCCTTGAGTCCGTTCTTGAAACTTTCATGACTCAACAAATAAGGAACAATGCGGAGATGAATGCAAACATCCAACAACTCCAAGCACATAATAAGATAATGGAGAGCCAATTGGCTCAAATTGCACAACAAGTTGGAAGTTCATCCTCCAATCCTAGTGGTCACTTTCCAAGCTCAACGGTAGTGAACCCAAAGGAGCAAGCTAAGGCTATCACTTTGAGATCGGGAAGGGGTTATGAGGGCCCGGTTATGAGTGAAGAGGAGCCACAAAAGAGAGATGAGGGAGTTGTGGTGAGAAGTGAGGATGATTTTGAAAATGAAGTAGTTGAAGTTGAGAGAAAAGAGCAAAAGAGTGATGAGGGATCCACAAAGAAAGACGAGGGAGATGAAGAAAGAATAGAAAAGCCCCCTATGAGATTATATAAGCCCCCTATTCCGTTTCCTCATAGAATTGTAGAGAAGAAGTTGAATGAGAAGTTTTCAAAATTTCTTGAAGTCATGAGAGGACTTCAAGTGAACATCCCCTTTCTTCATGCTATGTCAAAAATGCCTACCTATGCAAAATTTTTGAAGGATCTTCTATCCAACAAGAGTAGGCTTGAAGAGAGTGCAACCATCTCCCTTCCTAAGGAGGTGAGTGCAATCATTCAAAACAAGCTTCCCCAAAAGCTTGGTGACCCCGGTAGCTATGCAATACCGGTGAAGATTGGAGATTTGGAAGCTATGGACGCTTTATGTGATCTTGGGGCAAGTGTGAGCTTGATGCCCTATTCTATTGCAAAGACCTTGAAAGTTGGAGACTTGAAACCAACAAGAATGTCCTTACAACTAGCCGACCGCACAATTAGGCTACCTTTGGGGATTCTTGAAGATGTGCCGGTTCAAGTTGGAAGAGTATTTGTGCCATGTGATTTTGTAGTAATGGAGATGAAAGAAGATTCAAGAGTACCCCTCATTTTGGGGAGACCATTTTTGAACACCGCGGGAGTGGTGATTGATATGAAGGAAGGAAGATTGACTTTGAATGTGGGAGATGAGAAAATTTCATTTTCATTCTCACAAACTTTGAAAAAGCCATTGATTGATGAAGTTCATAGAATTGACACATTGGAGAGGGACTTAGAAGAGTTCCGAGAAAGATTGTATGAAAGAGATCCTTTACAAGCTACCTTAACGGGAAGCTTAATTGAGGAGGGTGAAGAAGCAAAGGGGTATGATCTCTTGCTCAACCAACCTTTGGCCCACGAGGTGATAAAATTTGAAGTGCTTAACGTGGAGGCAAAAGAGGAGAGGACTACTCCTCCTCCTAAGGTTGAACTTAAACCCCTTCCCCCTCTACTTAAATATGCTTTTCTTGATGATAGTGAGAATTATCCCGTTATTGTCAATGCTAAGCTCGATGACACCTCTCTTGAGAAACTCCTAGTTGTTTTAAGGAAGTATAGAGATGTCATTGGGTACAAAATTGATGACATTAAGGGGATAAGTCCCACCATATGCATGCATAAAATTCTACTTGATGATGATCATGCTTCCTCGATTGAGCACCAAAGAAGGCTCAATCCCAATATGAAGGAAGTGGTAAAAAAAGAAGTTTAAAAACTTCTTGAGGCGGGCATAATCTATCCTATCTCCGATAGTAAGTGGGTTAGCCCGGTTCAAGTTGTGCCTAAAAAGGGAGGCATGACCATCATCAAAAATGATAATGGTGAGACCATTTCTACGAGGTCGGTCACTGGGTGGAGGATGTGCATTGATTATCGAAAATTGAATAAATCCACCCGGAAAGACCGCTTCCCACTCCCCTTCATTGATCAAATATTGGAAAGACTAGCATCACATAGTCATTATTGCTTCTTGGATGGATACTCGGGATTCTTTCAAATCCCAATCCAACCCGAGGACCAAGAAAAGACTACATTCACATGTCCTTTTGGCACCTTTGCATATCGAAGAATGCCATTTGGGCTTTGTAATGCACCTTCCACATTTCAAAGGTGTATGATGTCTATTTTTTCCGACATGCTTGAATCATCAATTGAGGTATTCATGGATGACTTTTCTGTTTTTGGTTCATCTTTTGACACTTGTCTTTCAAATTTGATTAAAGTGTTAAAAAGATGTCAAGAGGTGAACTTAGTTTTGAATTGGGAGAAATGTCATTTCATGGTAGAGGAGGGAATTGTTCTTGGTCATGTGATTTCTAGTAGGGGCATTGAGGTAGATCGTGCCAAGATTGAATTAATTAAGCGCCTCCCACCCCCTACAAATGTGAAGGGGATAAGGAGTTTTCTTGGACATGCGGGTTTTTACCGCCGGTTCATAAAGGATTTTTCAAAAATCGCAAAGCCGCTCACTCAATTGTTGGTAAAAGATGCCCCTTTTGTGTTTACTAATGATTGTTTGCTAGCATTTGATAGGTTGAAGGAGGCCTTGATTTCGGCTCCTATCATTTAACCCCCTAATTGGGAGCTTCCTTTCGAGGTTATGTGTGATGCTTCGGATTTCGCCGTTGGGTCCGTTCTTGGACAAAGGAAGGACAAGAAGCTCCATGCTATCTATTATACTAGCAAAACATTGGATGAGGCACAAAGGAATTACACAACCACGGAAAAGGAGTTTCTAGCCATTGTTCATGCAATTGAGAAGTTTAGGTCCTACTTGTTGGGCTCTAAGGTCATAGTCTTCACCGACCATGCGGCCTTGAAGTACCTCTTGTCTAAGAAAGAACCTAAGCCAAGATTGATACGGTGGGTCTTGCTCTTGCAAGATTATGATATTGAGATTAGAGACAAGAAGGGTGCCGAAAATGTTGTGGCCGATCATCTTTCACGGTTGCCTATCTTTGTAGGTGATCTTGATAACTTGCCAATTGATGATTCATTTCCGGATGATCGACTATTTGCTATCCTTCAAGTACCGGCACCATGGTTTGCGGACATTGCAAACTACTTGTCTTGCTCTATTCTTCCTCCCGACCTCACCTATCAACAAAAAAGGAAGTTTCTTCATGATGTTCGCCAATACTTTTGGGACGACCCCTTGCTCTTTAAACAAGGTGTTGATGGCCTTTTTAGAAGGTGTGTCCCGGATGATGAAATTGAAAGTGTTATCACAATGTGTCACTCATCACCTTGTGGAGGACATATGAGTGCTAACAAAACTTTGGCAAAGATCTTACAATGTGGTTTCTATTGGCCTTCCATGCTCAAAGATGTGTGGGGTGTAGTGAAAGCTTGTGACCGGTGTCAAAGAACCGGCAATATTTCAAGAAGAAGTGAAATGCCATTGAACAACATTCTTGAGTTGGAGATTTTTGATGTATGGGGCATAGATTTTATGGGGCCTTTCCCAACCTCTTTTGGGAAAAATTCATTCTTGTGGCAGTCGATTACGTGTCAAAGTGGGTAGATTCGGTTGCATCTCCTACTAATGATGCTAAGGTGGTGTTCAAACTCTTCAAGAAGGTCATTTTTCCGAGGTTTGGGGTGCCACGTGCCGTCATTAGTGATGGAGGTTCGCATTTTGCAAAGCGGTCCTTCCAAGCTCTTCTTGAGAAGTACGGTGTGAGGCACAAGGTGTCATTGGCTTACCACCCTCAAACAAGTGGTCAAGCCGAAATTTCAAACCGGGAGATAAAGGTGATCTTAGAGAAGACGGTGGATAGGTCTAGAAAGGATTGGTCTACGAAGCTAGATGATGCTCTATGGGCCTACCGCACCGCATTCAAGACTCCCATTGGCACCACCCCTTACAAGCTAGTATATGGGAAATCATGCCATTTACCGGTAGAACTTGAGCATCGTGCTCATTGGGCTATTAAAACGTTGAACTTTGACCTTCAAAGTGCCGGTGAAAGGAGGTTACTTGACCTCCATGCCTTGGAAGAGCTAAGATTGGATGCATATGAGAATGCACGGATCTACAAGGAAAAGACCAAGGCTTGGCATGACAAGCATATCAACAAAAGAGAGTTCAAGGAAGGTGACAAGGTCCTACTATTCAATTCCCGGTTGAAGTTGTTTCCGGGTAAGCTAAAATCAAGATGGAGTGGACCTTTTACCGTCAAGAAGGTGTTCCCATATGGTGCAATTGAAATTTCCAAAGAGAATGGTGAACCGTTCAAAGTAAATGGCCAAAGGCTAAAAGCGTACTTTGACGGTTTTGTGAATGAAGAGGCAAAAGTTGTCCACCTTGATAAGTTCGATATTCCTCACTAACATTTGATCCCGCAATGTCGTCAAGCTAGTGACGTTAAAGAAGCGCTTCCGGGAGGCAACCCGAGTTCCTCACTCCCCCTCAATTATTATTATTTCATTTGTTTTATTTTTATTATTATTAACCCTTTTTATTTTATTTATATATATATATATATCTTTTTGTAGGTATTTATAAAAAAAAAGGGGGAAAGAAGAAGAAATCGTGCACCATCAGATATGCACGGACGTGCAGAACATCGCACGTCCGTGCAGACGAAGGCAGAACCTGACTGGTGAAATCTGAAGCTTCGCACGTCCGTGCCAAAAATCAGCACGTCCGTGCACTCGAGGACAGAACAGATTGCCATTCTGCCAGGAATCTGCACGTCCGTGCCAAAACCTGCACGTCCGTGCAGATTCAATTTGAACAGCAATATGCCGATTTTTCTATAAAAATAAATAAATAAAACTTACAGCAGCCCCACCCCACAATTCTCACTCCTCTTTCACACTCAAACTCTACTTCCTCCTCCATACTCCATACTCCATACTACTACTATTTCTCCATACCTTATTCTCACCCATCAAACTCCATTTTTCACTCAAATCCCCATTCTAAACTACAATTTTCACCCCTCTTTCAACATTCTTCACAAATTACTACCCCCTTTCACCATCAAAACCCCAAAGTACCAAAATTTTCTCAAACCCTAACTTTCAAAATTGATTTGGGGGTTTCTTGAATTTTGATTCTTTAAGCAAATTGGGTGAACAAGGGCCATCAATCAACAACAAGGAGTACTAGAAAGGTTCATTTGCGGGTTCTACACCCACGACATTCTTGGTATAATCTTTCCAATCTCAAGCTCTTCCTTTATAGTTTAAATGCTTGTTGGTTGATATTATGAGTAGTAATAGTTGAAATTGTTGACATTTTGTTAAGTAATTGTGATTGTTGTTAGTTTAGTAGTATAAAAGAAAAAAAATTTGGGTGAATTGTGAGCATTGAAATTTTGGTTGGTGATAGGTTTGTGTGAGTACGGATGCTTTTGGTGTTGGATTGTTGAATTGTTGTTGGTAAATTGTGCACATTGACAATTTTGGTGTTTGATTGTTTGAATTGATAAGATCATTGTTGGTAATTTTCGGGCTTGTTCTTGTTGTGTGTTGGTTAGGTGGAAGACTTAGAGCCTTGTGTGTTCAAATACTTGTTCATTAGGTGTTGTGCTTGCTTGAAGTGTTCTAAAAAAAATTTGATCATGTCAAGAAGAAACCAACCAAGAAACACCTCATCCGCTAGGCTTAGAAACCCTCCACCTCCATCAACCGTCGAACCACCACAAGTGGACACCTTAGGTATTGTCTTTAATAATTCGGATTTCATGGACAACTACCTAAGAATTAGTAGGAGAAGAATTCGGCCAACGAAATTTTACAACCATGAGGTAGCCGAAGCCTTAGGTGTAGAGAATGATGTTAGACAACTTTTTTTTCAAACTGGTGTCCCAAATTGGTTAGAAATGCATGCTAACACCTATAAACGGCTTACCTTAGAATTCCTCTCCTCACTATATGTCCACCGAGATAACCACAACAACCCCCGTTACCTGACCTTCCAATTGATGAACACCCATCACAAGATGACCATAGAACAGGTAAATCAAGCATTTGGGTGGCCAACGGATGGCAAATTCGGACCTAAGGATAAGCCTTCCCGAAAGCATAACCCGGGATCTTTTTGGAGAAAAATCACCGGCCTTTTTACTAGAGATCCTAGGACCGACAAGGCCACGACCATAGTACACCCCGCCTTTAGACTATCCCAGCGCCTAATAGCTAATACTATTTTTGCTAGGGGAGATAGTTCGGGTGTAGTTTCTAACCGTGAGTTGCTCTTTCTTTGGCACTTGAGTGAGGGTGATGAGAGGTTGAACTTAGGGGCTTGGATTTTAGACCACCTAGATGATGTATCCTCAGGGAGTGGAGTGATAACAATTGGGGGGATGATCACTATTATTGCTGCTTTTCTTGATCTTAATTTTGCAGATTTGGAAATCATTCCCGGACCAACGACACTTGACATCCGCTCCCTCAAGGCTATGCGTTGTTTGGAGGAAGATGAAGAGGGTAGGACCTACACGTGGATGGTAAGTAGGCGCCCCTATGCAACTTTGCCAAATCCGGAAGCCACGGTTATTTACGACCCCGAGAATTGGGTCTTTGAGCCGGATTTTGAGTGGATTCCGGGTGGAGAAGATGACCAAGCCCAAGGCGGTGAGGAACAATTCCAACAACAACAACAACAACAGCAACAACATCATCAACAATTTCAACAACATCAACATCATCAACAATTTCAGCAACAACAATTTCATCAACAACACGAGTTCCAACAAAGGG